AAAGTAAAGCTAGTTTTCGGCTACGAGCCCGACACAGAACCCACCGTATTAGCCAGAGGTCCCTTTACTTTACATGTGAAGTTTATTTTTTACCCCTAACAACAATCCTACAACAAGACTCTTGGTACTCTGCTTGTGCACACAAGCAACCAGCAATCAGGAAGACGCTGCACTGGATGAAAGCAACATTTCAATTAGTGTTAATGTTAATGTGTTCGTTAGTGTTAATGTGTGCACTTTAGAGGTGTGAATTGACAGATTTTGTTACTTTTTAACAAGGTCAGACATGAGAAAGTGAATGAGGTTATTTTTGCAGGGCGATCTTTGAGCACCATTGAAATCATCACATGACGACCTCTGTTTTAATCGAGGCAGCCGTCTACACTGAGCTGCTCACATTTATGTTATGTACTCACCGCAGAGCCCACAGCTGAAATATAATCTTCACGTCTACTTTTCTGCATGTTGTACACAAGACCACAGCGAGTATTTGTCTGGTAGCAAGCACTGTCGTAAACTTTCAGCAAGCACCAGTGAAAGCCTGTCTCTCTTTTCTGTGCATCCACCCTCCATCATAGAAAATAAAAATAAAATACAAAGAATGGATTATTGCTACGTGTCCCACCACTCACTCTCAAACAAACCTGAGAGAAGTATTTGGAGTTATAGGCGCGGAGAGGAAAGTATGAGGGGCTTGTGCAGGACGGCATTTCATCAATACTCCCGAGCTCAGCCTGGCCCGGGGGCTGGGCTGGGCTGGGCTGGGCGTGGCCATAGAGAGGCTCACCCTCAGCTAATGACAGGGCCCACTGTACTCAGTATAAATCACCCTGACCCATAAACAACATCTCCACACACTGACAGGCACATACACTTTTACTGTACACACCTATGCAGACACACTGACCTCAGTGCAACAGACATTTGTGAGACACACACTTGACGGAGGCCTGAGTCCGGCACAGGGCTCTGCTGTGTCTTGCCTGGTTGTCGAGGTATCTCTCCTTCCAGTCTTTGCTATATTTTTGCAGCACACCAACTACAAAGCTGCCAGCTGTCATCCTGAAATGCTTCATTTGAGCCAGACTTTGAAATCATTTTGCATTCTTGCAGCAAGAGAAACGGGCATTAAAAGGATGATGAATGCAGAGTGACAAACACATACGGAAACACAGATTATGGGATGGTGGCGTGAGACTGATGTTGTTTGGTGCTGCATGAGGGAAAACAAACAAATGTACAAATACCTTCCTGTTTCCTGATAGCAAACATCAGCCATCTTGGCTCAGACGTGTTTGTGACTCTGCACTCTGAAAGGGCATTATGCTAATGCACTGACCTTTAGATGTGGATGTGTTTGCCTGACTGAATAGGCCTTTCCTACTTTGCTCTTTACTTCACTCGGGCACACAATCTCCTCGCATTTTAATTAAAGGAAAAGCTGCCAAAAGAAAGGGGGCGGGGGGCATCCCTGCCAACGCTATTTAAGGTCCAGAGTGTCGTCTTCTTAGCAATTAAATAAATTAGATTGGATGTTTCTGTTTGTTTCCTTAAATTTGTTATTATACTATATCCTAGTATTCCTTACAGAAATACTTTGGTACGATTTCCTCTGGATCTCAGTCAACTCCACCAGAAGCAGACACAAAGCCAATCTTCCTTATTAGGCGTAGTTTTAATCAGTTCCTCTGGATGTCAAATTTCAGCCTCTTCAGCACTTCTGCAGGCCCATTGAGCAGGTTTGTGTTGAGCTTTGCTAAAGCAACAGCAGCCGGGCAGGTAAGCCAGAGTTACCATGGACTTGTGTTTGTTTAGGATCAGCTCAGGGAATACTTATCTCCACCACATACAAGAACATTTTTCTCTAGGAAAATATACACTTGAGCTCTGATGAATGTCTTCTAGACTTACAGCACTCAATCCACTAACTTTATTTTTCATCTACTGACCCTTGTGTTTTCTTGTCACTTTTGGAAACAGGACCAATCTCAGAGTTCTTCACCCTCCTCAGTGGAGTTTGTCTTGTTGTGTTGATACATTGTTTCTAATAAATCTTGACGTGTGTTGTAAATGAACATATAAAACTCTTCCATTCATAAAACCTGCAGTTGTCATAGAATTCATCTGTGTTGACGAAGCTACATGCGACGAGGATACAGTTCACTGTGCTGTCGTTTCACACTGTATTCTTCTACCGCATGAAGCTTTGTCTCAACCTGTGTCAGAGATAGCTTTTTCATGTTTTCAAAGGTAGGGCTCACGTGGTAATAAGCCCTCTTTCCTTTCTTCCATCTCTGCCCTGCCGTCTGCAGAGACCTGTGCCGTCAACAACGGCGGCTGCGACAGGACGTGTAAAGACACAGCTACGGGGGTGCGCTGCAGCTGCCCTGTGGGATTCACCCTCCAGCCTGATGGCAAAACATGCAAAGGTCAGTGAAGAGAAGATAGTGTGTGATTATACACGTGAAAGGGTTCGTTTTACACGGATCACTCGACTGCTTTCTGAGTGATCCATAGCCAAACTCTGCTCACCATCCGCTTCACTTCGATCTGCACAAAGCTTTGTTTGTGGTCATTTGCTCTGCTGCTGCTTGTTATTGGTTTTGCAGTTGAGCATTTCTCCCCTTCTGGGAGCCGAGCTGTGACGTCAATGACGGTGGTCCGAGGAGAAGATGCTGCAGCGTGGGCCTTAACAATCCAAACACATTATTATAGCCTTTTGACTTTCCTGTAAACAAACACCCTCGTGGAGTAAGGCGAACCTGTGGGTCTGTGGCTGGTTGGAGCCCAGTCCCACACAAGTCTTTATTTTTGTCAGGGCTGGACAAAGAAGCAACAAGAGGGCTTCAAGGTTTTCTGTTTTTGAACTTTGCAAATGCATAAAGAGGTTATAAAGAGCAGAATAGCTTCCCAAACAATCGGAGAACGTGTCGTCAGCTCTCATTTTAAAGACTGCATTCATACGTCCAGCAGTGCAGAGCAGGCCACTTATGTTTGTTTGTCAGAGGGTCGGGGCTTCTCTCTGCTCAGCTCCTCTGGACCTTTCATTCAATTCAATTTTTATAGAGCCAAATCACAACAGCAGTCGCCTCGAGGCGCCTAATATTGTAAGATACACACTAACAACTGAGAGCTTTTCTGTAGTGAAAGTAAAGCCTTCAAACACTGTTCTAAGAGGAATTACTGAAGTACAGCCAGCTGAAGAAATTCGACTATCAACAAAATGATGTGACGTTTATTTCACACTAGAGTAGAAATGCAACCTTGTGATTAGCAAATAAAAGTGATTTCTCAGTAACTGCACTGAATGTCACTGATATACAGACTGGTGAAGGTTCATAGTGCTAATTCATAAAAACATCTCTTTGGAAAAGCAAGTGTTTGTCAGCTGGTTCAAGTTTGACAAGCAGTGTATGTCATTTTGTGTTGAATCGCCATCCTGTTACAGTTTGTGGAGGAATTTCTTTTTTATTTTACATCTGTGAGCGTCTGGCTCGACTGGATTTAAGTGATTAGTGTGAATTTCTGTTTAATGTGAGTTAGTGTGGATGTATTCTGTCGTGGCTGTGTGCAGGCAGGAAGAGAGGACCCGAAATGCAGGACTCACAGAGGCAGAAGTATTTCAGAAAACTTTATTGCTGGGATAAACTGAACGGAAAAACTAACTAAACTGGGAATACGGAACAAACTAAACAGGTAGACAGGCTGGCAAACCGAACACGCAGTGAAAGAGAGGGCACAACGCGACAACGAGCAGGGGAAGACGCAGACACTAAATACAAGAGGTGAACAGAGCTAAGAGGAAACAGCTGGGAGACACGGCTGACGCTGATGACGAGACAGGGAGAGCACAGAGCTGAACGCACAGACATGAGGCACAGACCTACAACGTAAAACAGGAAGTACACGACAGACAGAGCGATCCAGACGAGACAGAATAACACCATGGACAGACAGAAGGAACACAGAGAAGAGGATGAACACTGGGAAACCAAATAACAAAACCTAAAAACAAGAACTCAGGAAGTACTGCCAAAACTAGGAAGCTGAAATACTAGGACAGAACCCAAAACAAACAGTCATACTTCAAAATGAAATCAAAAGTAAAAGTACAAAACCAAAAACACCGGGTCACCGACCCAGGACCGTGACACATTCTGCAATAGGTTTGCAATTTTTTGCAGTTTATCACAGTTAAACTTTATATTATGATGAAGTTATGATGATGAATTATCATGAACGGATTTTTTGTCTTTGCAAATTGAGCGGTTACAGACCCAGTCCCACATCGCCGAAATATTTCAACAAAGCAACAAGTAAAGCCAACAACATAATATCACGTCAGCTTCACATCTCCTTCTGTTACAAACCATCTCTGACACTCATCTCTATCCACCCTGCCTGCACTCTCCTCTTCACCCACCTGTCCTATGCCGTGTGCTGTTGATTCTCTGTGTTCAAACTCATTGCCACTACTCCTCACTCGTATACTTCATTCTCACGATCTGTCGGCCTCTGTTGACTTTCCTCTTTTCTCCAAAGCATGCCTCCACCTCTCCAGACTCTCTGTAGCCTGGTCCCTACTTTCACTATAGATCACAGTGTCATCTGCAAACATCACAGCTCGTCACAGAGACTCCTGCCTGACCTCGTTTGTCCCGTCCATCACCACTGCAAACAAAAAGGGACTCCGAGCTGATCCCTCATGTAATCCCACGCCCACTCTGAAACCATCTGTCACTCCTACCGTCCCAGCCTCACATGCTTCTCTGCCACTTCCTCGTGCAGGACCACAGTTCCTCTCTTGGCACCCACAGAGACACAGTGCAACTCCTGTGTTTCTCCATCAACACTCTTTCTCAGCTTTTAGTCCTTTACCTTCTCTCACTTCCTCAATTTGATTTTCAGTCCTCCCACACAATGCCATCCAGTTGCATTCTTCTCTGTGTGCACCTTCCTCTAATTTTACATGTTATGCTTTGTCGATTCCTCTTCTTAAAGTGTTCAACAGCCATTTCCATCCTTTTTGCAAATTCCAGTCCAGCCCATTTCTCTCCTTTACACCAACCCATCCATGAGCTCGATCTCCTTCTCCTACATGTCTGTTGGAGTCTGTCCCAAACAAAGCAAACCTCCTTTGCAGACACTCTGCGCCACTTTTCTATAGAGTAGCTCTCGCTTTTAACTAACATCCAACTTGGAGTCATACGCTCTGACGCTCATCACAGCACGCCTTCGATTTCCAGATTCAAAACGAATTATGCTGTCTGACAAAGTCTACACCTCCACAACAGCTAAGGATGCCTCCCCAACCAATCACAGCAGATGGCCCCGCCCCTCCCTGAGCCTCGTTCTGCTGGAGGTTTCTTCCTGTTAAAAGGGAGTTTTTCCTTCCCACTGTCGCCAAAGTGCTGCTCATAGGGGGTCATATGATTGTTGGGTTTTTCTCTGTATCTATGAAGCGCCTTGAGGCGACTTTTGTTGTGATTTGGCGCTGTATAAATAAAATTGAATTGAATTGAATTGAATTCTGGGAGTAAAGTAGGCCATCTACTCAAAGATCAGCTCTTTTTATTGGACTCCAAGTTGCCCCATTTTAATAAATGTTAAGCTTCTGTGGGAGTGTTGAGAGTCAAAGTCACATACTCTTCCTTCAGGATTACTCCCACTCCCACTTCCTATGGTGCAGTTTGAATCCACCATCCGTGCTTCCCTTGATGGTCCTTACTCTCACCTCTGCTCTTCTGCTTCTCACTGCCTCCAAACACTCGTCCGGTCTTTGGCTGACAGTAGCACCTTTCTCTTTGTGTAATTCATGCTGACCCATGCCAACTACATATCAGTAAAGATTTGTCTGAAAACAAAAGTTTATTCTGGTGAGTAATAGAAGATGTGAACAGGTTTTCAGTGTGGTGCGTTCTGTGAGTGATATCTGATGTGTAGAGTGGCATTTACAGTGAGCAGCCCACAGGTGATGGACGTGAGATAGCTGTCGACGCAGAATCAAGGAATTGGTCATTTTGCACAAGGCAAGATGTCCAGAATCTGGACAGCTGGTCTTATGGAAGTATGGTCCTATAATTTAAAATACTGTGTGCGTGCATGTCTTCCAGATAAAGTGTGTCTGCAAAATGACTGTGGGGCAGTCTGAGAATGTGGCATGTAGGTGTGTGAAACTCTGGAGCCAGAGCTGTCTCAGGCCTGCAAGGCAGACGACGTGTCGGCAAACTTTGAGATGTTTGAACAGTGAGGCCCACGCTGGCCTTTCTCGCTCTCTCTGACACACACACACACACACACACACACCCTCTCCTCTTCGACCTTGATGTGCACACGCTCACACAGACAGCACCATCCAGCTGCAAATACAGTAAATACATCCATTTACCTGCAAGAGCACTCAAGGCAAGACGAGTCAGCATAATTTCAAATGATTAATAATAATGTTAGCCAGCTTTGACTGATGCATTTATTTAACATGTTATTGTTATGACACGAGAGCTTATATAAAACCAGGTCAACTAAGTCAAAAAACAAGAAAATGAATAAATGATCAAAAAGCAAACATGTGGTGTGGGCGAAATCATTAAAAAGAGAAAAATGTAAAAATTAAAATCATCATTAATAAGATGACAAAAAATTTAATAATAAGAAACATGATCTGTTATTGTCACCATGTAGCTTGTAAATTGTTGACTTTAATCATTTCAATATACAGTTTCTCGGGTTTGAATTTCATAACTAATTTTAAACTAATTAGCTTCACTAATGGGTGCCTGAGTTTCATGTTACATGCTGTTAGAGCATCACTGGTCTTTGAGTTTGTAAAGCTGTGTGGTCCCACCCTGTGTTACAGTGCAGTACTTCAATTATGTCACAGCTTGATTCCAGTGTGGTGGCACTAGATTTTATCATAATGCCGAGGTAGTAAGTAGAGGTGGGAATCACCATACATCCC